CCCCTACCTCTGGGCCCGGAACGGTGGGACTCAGTACCTTGGTCTGGTGGTCTGGTGTCCTCTGCGTCTTTGTAGTGTGGAATCAGGTGGCTGCCTGTCTGCAGCGGGGTGATTTGGTGCCTTCCGCAAGACTCTTTTAATTCTTATTTTCAGGAATTGTAATAACATTGACATGGGCCATCTGGTGGCAGTTTCTCATAATAGCACTTAAAATTCCTATACAAATTCTGAAGTTTTTATAGAAATATAGAAAACTTCGTAAAACTATTGTTTTGTAAAAACAGAAAACATCTATATTCTTGGGTTCTGTGTGAAATGAAGAACAGATACTAAAGTTTTACCTACAGTGTAACTGAATCTTTGGCATATCAAAGTGTCTTATAGCACTTTATTATGTATTCTATATTAAACAAAAAGGAGTTATGTAGAAAACAATCCTAATACTCAGTGACTCAATGAAAATGCTGTTGGGCTTTTAAAACAAATGATATATTTTGAAGAACAAGTAAAAACCTCCTGAGTTTGTACCTAAAGACAAATTTATTCTTATTTTTCCTTGAGTGAACAAGTACCAGCTAAATTATTAACAATATTTAATAGAATTTAAACACAAATTCTGTTAAATTTATAGTAAGGATTAGATTAGAATATAAGAAGTTCTTTTGGATTGTTCTAACTAAAAATTCTGATTATATTTCTGACATTCTGGATAGCAACGTCTACAAAGATAGATGATGAAATCCCCCCTCCACTTCCTGAACGAACACCTGAATCTTTTATTGTGGTAGAGGAAGCGGGTGAGTACATTTCAGTAAGTATAAAGTGTGGGTATCACTTCTCAGGTCCCCTCAGTGCTGTGTGTGCTACTGGTGAGCAACATTTTATCTCTAGAAGAATAACACAACTCCTAAGAATTGGGCCATATTCACTTTCTTCCAGGTGAATTATCAACAAGTGCACCCAAATCCTTATCTTCACCTGTGAAGGTGAAAATTGGAACATCGCTGGAATGGAGTGGAACATCTGAATCAAAGACATTTGATAAGCCTGTGAGACTTAGGCCAAGCAAGGTCAGTAACTTTTTTTCTGACTTATCTTAGTCACTTTCTTTTTCTGTGGGACAAAATACCCAACACTTTTAGCATAAAGGAGGAAAGGTTTATTTTGGGTCACAGTTTGTAGATTTTTCAGTCCATAATCAGCTGGCTCCAAGGCAGGGCAGCATGGCAAAGGAGAATGGAGGAGGAAGAGCTGCTCGCCTCATGATGGCCAGGAAGCCTAGCGAGAAAGCAGGAACTGGGGAGGGAGATAAATCCTTCCAGGCCACACCCCAGTGTCTCCCCTTTTCTAACTAGATGCCACCTCCTAACAGCAAGCCATTCATACACCCCCATAATCCAATCACCTTCCAAAAGCACTGCCTATGAGCAGATGAGGCTCTTGGGGAGCATCTAGATATAAACCATAACACTTCTCATTTGGATTCAACAGACTATATTTTTATTCCATGCATTTTTAATGTCTATCATTCAATATATTAAGTAGATGTTAATATAAAACAAGAGAGGCGGGGATTTAACTCAGTGGTTCTGCTACCTGCCTTGAAAGTGCAAGGTCCTGAGTTTGATCATCGGTACCAAACCAAACAAAAACAACAACAACAACAAAAAAAACCAAGATGTAGGGAACAAGAAAGATGTATAAGACACAATTCTTACTCTTAAGAAACTTATAGTTCAGCCAGGCATGGTGGCACATGCCTGTAATCCCAGCACTCAAGAAGTGGAGGCAAGGGGATTACTGGGAGTTCAAGGCCAGCCTGAAGTACATAGCAAGAACTTGTCTCAAAAAAACAAAAACCAACCAAACAAACCAAAAAACTTATAGTTGAGATACAGGATGTGTACAGTCTTTATTTTTGTTTATATACATATTGTTACATTATAACAAGGCAAATATGATCAATGTGTTATATAAAAAATAAAGAGATTCAAAGTGTTAGAAATCCCTAAATACTGAAAGGGATCAAGGAGACTTAGTGAATGAGAAAACATTGAGCTGATTCTTGAAAGACAGTTAAGGTAAAGTAAATGTTTCATAAGTAGGTAGCTTGTTCATTGTAGTAATTTCATAGTCTGTATCATGTTAGCTGTGAAAATATATTTCAGAGAGTAATTTTTGAATGACATGCATATTACTTAAAATAACCCTTTGGAATAATGTGTCCCCCTTCTAGGAAAAAAAAATCTGTACTTCTAGCAGTCTTTTGTGTGTAGTTTTTGAACCAACTATTTTAAGTTATCAGAGATCAGGGCCGGGGATTTAGCTCAGTGGTGCTGGTGCCTGCCTCGAAAGTGCCAAGGTCCTGAGTTCAATTCCCGGTACCAAAAAAATTAAATAAAATATCAGAGATTCAAAAAGTAATTAACAAACACTTAAAAATCCCTACAATTCTAATGCTGGGGAAAATATTTTGTACTTTTAAAAATTACAATTTTAATGCTAAGTGTGGTCATGCACACCTGTAATCCCAGATAAGTTGGAGGCTGAGGCAGAAGGAGTTCACGTTTGAAGCCAGTCTGGTCAACTTAGTGAGACCCTGCATCAAAATAAATTAATAAGAGCTGGGGATATAGCTCAGTGGTAGGACACTTGCCTAACATGACCAAGGCCCTGGATCAATCCCCAATACCATAAATAAATAAAAGCTTAATGTACTAGTAATTGTTATTATTATTGTTAGTAATATGCATAGACATAGTGATCTTTATCTTAATTCTTAGAGGAAAGAACAATCATTCGTTTCCCAATGTCATGAAATAACTACAATCTCAACAATTTATCTCCAAATAAATTTTCAGGAAAATGTTTTAAGTAGAAAAGAAATAAGTTAGAAGGGGATCAGTTTAGGATTAATTGCCATGTGATATAAAAATCACTGTAAGAGTTAAGGATAACTTTTTATAATTCAACACACTTATTAGGAAAAATAGGATCTAGATTTCATAACTATCTCTATAGGTATATGAAATATAATTTTCAAAAATGCTATTTATTGCTTTGAATTTCTGTAATGTGTATACATATTCTTGTTTCTTTCCTTTTTCTTTTAGAGTGTAAAACTCCGGAGTTCCAAAGCAGGTAAAATTTTTTCTTGGCTTTAGATGATACTTAGCATTAAGAATAGCTCATTGGGGCGCTGGGGATTGAGCTCAGTGGTTCCACTGCTTGTCTCACAAGCGCAAGGTCCCGAGTTTGATCCCCAGTACAAAAAATATTAAAAAAAGAATAGCTCATTAAATTTAGAGTAATTCACCTAAAGAGGCCTCATGATTCTCCAAATAAGTGCTGCTATTTATTATTTCTGGTTTTGCCAGATTAGGAGTTTTGTTGTCTTATGGGTAAAGTGGAGTTAGGATTTTAAAATTCTGCTCCTTCATATATACTTTTAAAAATATTATTTCATATGGGATCTTTTAAAATTGAATACCCAAAGCAATCTTGAGCAAAAAGAACAAAGCAGAAAGCATTATACTACCTGACTTGAAAATAATATTACAAAACTGTAGTAATCAAAACAGCATGGTATTGGCATAAAAATAGACATATAGACTGAGGAACAGACTGGAGAGAAGTAAACCCATGGATTTACAGCCAATTGATTTTTTTTTTAACAAAGGTTCTATGAATACACCTTGGAAAAAGGATGGTATTTTCAATAAATGCTGCTGGGAAAATTTGGTACCTACAGGCAGAGGAATGACACTAGATCCCTATTTTTTATTAGTTACAAAAATCAACTTAACATGAGTTAAAGACTTAAATGTAAGATCTGAAACTATGAAACTACTAGAAGAAAACAGGAGAAATGCTTTAGGACATTGGAATGGGCAAGGATTAAAAAAAAAAAAAGACTCCAAAAGCATAGGAAACAAAAAAGCAAAAGTAGGCAAATGAGATTATTTCAAATTAAAAAGCCCTGCACAGCAAATGAAACAGTCATCAGAGTGAAGAGACAACCTATGGAATGAAAGAAAATATTTGCAAACTACTTATCTGACAAGGGGTAAATATCCAGAATATGTAAGGAACTAAAAAAACCCAAAAAACTCAATAGCAAAAAAAAAAAAAAAAAAAGAATAATTGGATTTAAAATGGGCAATAGAGAAGACAGGAATGGTAGGGCATGCCTATAATACCAGCACTCTGGGAGGCTAAGGCAAAAGGATCACACGTTTGATCCCAGCCTGGGCAACTTAGTGACTTAGTGAGACCCTGTCTCAAAATAAAAATTTTTTAAAGGGCTGGGGCTGTAGCTCTGCATGAGGTCCCTGGGTTGAATCCCCAGTACTGAAGGGAGGCTGGGATGGGGGAAGGCAATAGACCTGAAAACACATTTCTTAAAGAAGACATACCAATGGCCAACAGGTGTATGAAAAGATACTCAACATCATTACTCATTAAAGAAATGTAAGTCAAAACCACACTGAGGTATTACCTTACTCCAGTAAGAATGGCCATTATCATAAAGACAAAAGAAAACAGGTGCTGGTAAGAATGTGGTGAAAAGGAAGCCCTTACATACCATTGGTGGGAATGTAAATTATTACAGCCATTATTTAAAAACTATGAAGTTTCCTCAAAAAATTAAAAATAGAACTTCCACATGATCCAGCAGTCCCACTACTAAATCTATGTCCAAAGGAAATGAAACCAGTACGTTGAAGAGACATCTGGACTCCTATGTTTATTGCAGAACTATTCACAATAGCCTAGAAATGGAAACAACCTAAGTGTCCATTAAATAAAGAATGAATAAAGAAAAGTGATACATATACACAATGAAATACTCTTTATCAATCAATCAAAAAGAGATGAAATCCTGTATTTGCAACTGTTGTAGTCAGGGTTTGAGAGAGAATAGACTTAATACAGGACACATAATTTACAGGATTATTTATAATATTCACCAAAAAGTCAAATGCAGAGGAGTTCAAGAGATCTGTCCATGTGCTAGAGACCTGAAGAATCCAGCTGAGGGCTTGGACCCCACAGCAATTTTCCCCTTGAGTCCAGCTAAGGCCTAGAGCCCGTGGCAATGTCTCATGCAAGTCCATATCAAGGATCTGCACTGGAAAGGCCCAAAGACCAATGATGGAAGCTAGAAAGTCTGTGCCGGCGGGGTGAAGGATCTGTAACCAGGCTGAGGTTCACGATGAAGATCAGAGCTCCCTTGACGAGAATAGCAGCCAGCCCCCGCAACAGCAAGGATCCGAGATCCTCTGGCAATGAGAACAGCCGAGTTCACATCAGGAAATCCAGCCGCAGCAAGCTTCTCCATGAAAATCAACATCGATTCTCCCCTCCAGTTTCTTTTTATGCCATTGGCAACAATCCTCAGGAGGGTCTTCCACACCCAGAGCCGTATTGACTCAGTTCAGCTGAGCATTACAAGTTGACCAATAGTTAATCCACCACAGAAACAATATGGATGGAATTGGGCTGTAAGTATAGCTCAGCAGTAGTGTTTGCCTAGCATGCATAAGGCCCTCAGTTCAGTCCCCAAACAAACGGATTGAGGTGGATGGAGATTATGTTAAAAGAAATAAATCAGGCACAGAAAGAAAAGTACTGCATGATATCACCCGTATGTGGAATCTAAAAGAATTAATCTCATAGCAGTTGTGATTAGAATCGTGCTTACCAAACACTGGAGGAGAGTAGGAGGAGAGATGGGAAAGATTGATATCAATGGATACTGAGTCACAATGACATAAAAGTAAGAAGTTCTAGTGTGCACAGTAGTGTGACTACAGGTAACAATTATATACCGTATATTTCAAAAGGCTAGAAGAAAGGACTTGTTTTCATCATAAATAATAAATATTTGAGGAGATGTTTAATCTCATTTAAACATCACATAAGGCATACATATATTGAAATATGATCACATATGATCTCATTAATATATACCAGTTTTCTATTTTTGTGTATTTATTTTAAAAATTTAGCATCATTTCCATCATACAGATTTTACCATGGTTAACACTTGGTGTTTTGACTTGCCGTTGGATTACCAGTACTTTCTTGAGCTCTGCTTATTTTATACATTGAGCAACAGTCATATTATTAAAAATAAATAGATAATATAATATGGAAGTTAAAAAACAGGCTTTGGAATCAGACAGGTTTTAATTCAAACCCCAGTATACCACAAATTATCAAAATGCATAACCTTGTCTACACACTTTCTCTCTAAATTGTTGATTTTTCTCATTTATGAAGATACTAAAACCACTTAGAGGATTAATTGAGATAATAAGCTTTTAGGACAGTGCTTATTAAATAACATACCATCATTAACTGTTACCTATTATAAATTTTATGAGCATTTACTAGGCAAGTTCTATGTACCTCACACAATGTTAGAATAGGCAGGATATATAATAAAAAGCAAAAGCAAGGGCCGGGGGTTTAGCTCAGTCGTTCTGTCACCTGCCTTGCAAGTGCAAGGTCCCAAGTTCGATCCCCGGTACAAAAAAAAACACTGCTTAATGCCTATATTCAAATTGAGTAGATAAAATTAATACTCACATGAAACCATTAAATGACAATCTCTGAGGCACCAACTATAATCTCCAGTGGTCTGAAAAAAAAAAAAAGAATAGTATCACTGGAGTGGTTAGAAAGGGCTTCATTGACAGAAGAATTTATTAAGAATTTGAAAAGACAGAAAAGAGGAGGGAATTCCAGGAGCAGTGAATGATCAGCCTACCAATGACTCGAACGTAGAGATGAGCGTGATATGAGGAGAGATATCGAGTCAGTCACTTATTATTTAGTGCTGTTGGGGACTGAACCCAGGGCCTTGCACACTCTAGGCACCTGCTCTACCACTGAACTATATAT